CAAAAGTTCCGTGTACACAGTGTTTTTGAAATTTTAAACTGAAATATCTCCGTTGATCTGATAAAAAATAAACATAAACGTTTTGCTTTTAGATTGAAAAAGGATAAAAATAAATCTGATGATTTTCTAGTAAAATCCAGTGGCGTCGAAAATATGAGGGTAAAAAGGGGAAACCCCTCCCAAAATCTCCGCCACTGGGCCTTTTGCAGAAAATTTTCATTATATTATCGACGGAAGCTTAACCTACACAAAATTTGAGAAGAATCGGTTTAATGGTTTAAAAATTATTTTGAAGGACTATATCTCCGTTAGTACCTATGCATTTTTGAAAAATGTTTTTGAGTTTGTTTTTATTGTTTTTTCAGGCTCTATCGATCATTAAAATTTTTCAGATTAATCCTGGACCACCCTGTATAGGTAGAAAGGAAAAAGAGGATTTATTGGGTTTTAAGATCTATCGTGCTAGAAGTGAGCAAGGTACCTAATTGCAATTTTTTTATTGAATTTAAAAATTTATTTCTTTTTTATTTTTAAAGTTCTTCATAACCTAAAGTTACCAATCACAAACTATTTTACAATAAGTTCTTAATGTTTAATAAAGCATAATTCTTGATAGCCTGATCGTAATTCTATTTGTAGCATAATATTATAACAAGTATAAAGGTGGATTTAGCCAGCATTTAAAGTAATGTAATGAAGCGTAACATAGGTAATTTAATTTAAAAAATTGTGTAACACAATTTGTGTTGACCCGTCAAACAAGAAAAACTCAACCAAGAATACATCTGCACTTAAAGAAATCTATAGATAGGTATACGTACAGGGTGTCCTGAAACATAACACTTTTTTGTAAACATGTATCAAAAAATGGTTTTCACTTCCAAAATACGTTTTAAGACTCGTGTTTTTATCACATGTGGTTTTTATATTGTTATGTTATAGGTTACTAACCTAATTAGGTTAGCTACAGTAGCTAACCTTAGGTTAACTTTAAATTTGTCGCTGACGATGACGTCGTAGGCAGCGTGAATTTAATTGTCAAAGAAGCCTTCTCAGATGAAGTTTCTTCCAAAATAACGCGCACTGGACGTGCTGGTGTTGGGGTGTCCAAAACAAAAATCGTACAAGCCATTCACCGTATGTTTTATATTTTAATATTATTTCCTAGACAATTTTGTTACTTAAAGTATTTTTTAGAGAGTTTACATAAACATGATAAATTCCCCGTCCAGGGGCTTTAGAATTCCAGAGGTCCTTTGACGTGGCCTTAAACAACGCGAAGCAACGGGTCCGAAATCAAAAAAAAGCCTTATTGCAAAAAAACAATTAAATCACTGCTTGGGATTCAATATAAAAAAACAATATTTTTTCCAATTTTGATTATTTTAAATATTTTTTATTTATACATTTGTTTTTTTTTAATTTTATTTTTGACCACTGTTCCAGTATTGGAACATACTGTTTTATTTTTTTATTATAATTAAAAAATATAAATACAAAATTTTCTATTTGTTTTATAAAAAGCGTTTTATTTACCCAATTTTCAAATACTCTCCAAAAAATTAATAGATAGATTAGGGGAAGGTGGGGGAATTTTGCGCGGTGGGTAATTTTACGCATAAACAATTCTTCCAGATATGAAGTAAATAATACATTTTTTGAATGTTGCAAACTTGGAAACGTTGCTTTGGGTATACGGGGACTAAAGTGTACCGCAATTAAGCTTGTAGCTTTTAGCTAGTGACCATGGTCACTAGCTAACTGTGATACATGTACGTTGATCTAAGAAATCCATGTCGTTTCCGCTACGAGTTAAGTTTAAATTTCTGTCCAATCGTTTAAATGTTTATAACACAACTTTATATGATCTTTCCTCGTAATCTGGTGTATGTTTAAATTGTTCAGGTTAACTTTTGGAAAGTTTTTTAGTATCACAATATTTTTCTTGCAATGGGGGTAATTTTACGCTGAAAAATTGGGGTAATTTTGCGCTGCAAAATTTGGCCAATATGGGAGCTTTGGTATACAGGAGCCTAGATTGTTCAGTATAAACAGTTCCATTTGGGCACACGCGGAGTGTAGCGAAAAAAAAACCCCTAAAACTACATATGTGACAAATGCTGCATGTATACCCTCTTATTTCTAAGAACAAAAATTTTATTTTTAGTAATTTATTTTTGATTTTGTTTGTTTTGTTTGTTTCATAGAGAAAATAGTTTTGTTTTATTTTTATGTTTTAATATAATAATATTATAGAAATAGACGGTTTATTTAAATACCTACAAATCTTTCTCTATAGAGACTATATATAGTCTATAATTTTCCCACTATGATGCGCAAAATTACCCTGATAGGTGGGTAATTTTGCGCAAATGCATTATTTTGCATTTTGCATAATTTGTTGGTTGTGAACAACACTGTGTATATTCATAAGACAAACTTTTACGTTAATTGAAATAAATTATTCCACTAATTACGAGGTTCTAAATGAGACTTCTTTCAGAACCTCGTAATTAGTGGAATAAATTAGTGGTTTTAATTAACGTAAAAGTTTGTCTTATGAATATATACAGTGTTGTTCACAACCAAAAAATTAGTGGTAGTTCTTTTCAGTTAGTGGAAAAAGTTTGCAAACTTCTAACTTTTACCACTAATTATAATTGGAAAGCGGCTTTGCGCATGTGCGCGGATATTTTATGTCAAAAGCAAAAAGTTTGAAGATTTGCCAGTGAAGGTAAGGTTATATAAATATTATTGTAATGGTTGTACAAATAGTATATTACACTACAAGGGCAGAAAGTGTGAGATTCCTGCACTGCGCGCCATGATGCCCGAGGCGAAGCCGAGGGCATCATGGCGCGCAGTTCAGGACTCTCACACTTTCTGCCCGTGTAGTGTATACTATTTTTCTTACTACCTCGGCCGAAAATACAACCCAGCCGAAAATACGGGAAAAAATTAAATGTGTATTTATGTACCTATCTCCATTTGAAGAGCTTGATAAATAAATAACAGTAGGCCGTGAATTCAGCGGTGCCAATACAGTAAAAATTAAACGTTGTATTTTAATTAACAAATTACTACTTTATAACAAATAAAAGTACCTTAAAACACTTAAAACAACATAAAAAGTAAAAAAGTAAAAACATAAATTGTTTATTTGTTGTTATAATTGCAAAATTATGGTTTAAAACTGTCATATTTTTGTGTTTCTCATGTTGGCAGTACGAAATTTGAATGTTAAGCACACGACTAAAAAATTTTTTCTTACTACCTCGACTCAAAATACGTTGTTTCGTCCCCGATTTCACGGCAGAAAGTTTACGTTTCTTGCATTGGTCAAGCTATACGCGCACACTCTAATAGCGGGAGTAAAAATTTTTTAGTCGTGTGCTTAACATTCAAATTTCGTACTGCCAACATGAGAAACACAAAAATATGACAGTTTTAAACCATAATTTTGCAATTATAACAACAAATAAACAATTTATGTTTTTACTTTTTTACTTTTTATGTTGTTTTAAGTGTTTAATGGTACTTTTATTTGTTATAAAGTAGTAATTTGTTAATTAAAATACAACGTTTTATTTTTACTGTATTGGCACCGCTGAATTCACGGCCTACTGTTATTTATTTATCAAGCTCTTCAAATGGAGGTAGGTACATAAATACACATTTAATTTTTTCCCGTATTTTCGGCCGGGTTGTATTTTCGGCCGAGGTAGTAAGAAAAATAGTATACACTACACGGGCAGAAAGTGTGAGAGTCCTGAACTGCGCGCTATGATGCCCTCGGCTTCGCCTCGGGCATCTTGGCGCGCAGTGCAGGAATCTCACACTTTCTGCCCTTGTAGTGTAATATACTATTACTCCCGCTATTAGAGTGTGCGCGTATAGCTTGACCAATGCAAGAAACGTAAACTTTCTGCCGTGGAATCGGGGACGAAACAACCGTTGTTTAACAACGTATTTTGAGTCGAGGTAGTAAGAAAATATTATTTTAATATAATTAATATTGTTTATGTCAGGTTAAGAAAAATGGACAATCTTTTAGCAAATTCCCTTAATTTTAGATGTTAATTTTGCACATTGTGAATGATTGTTTTGTGTTAATTATAAGTATAATAATTATTGAAACCACTAATTTTTTCCACTAATTACGAGGTTCTGAATGAGGCTTTCAGCCTTAAAGGTGAAAATAAAAGTTTGTACATGTCACGCTTTGCAATTAATTTTTACCAGGCTCACTGGATTATGGGGGTCAAAATGGGTCAAAAATATACAAGGTCTCTATAATTAAAATTCGGGTGGTAAAAACATAGTTTTTTGATCAAATTAATAATACATTAATTCCTTAATCAAGGAAAACAACTAAAAATATTAAATTTGCTTGCGCCATCTGTTGGTAAATCGCGCAATGTAACCGAACGGCACCCCAACAGTTGGGTTAATAGTTACACGCTCGCAACAATAGTTGGATAAGAAATCAACTAAAATTTTACAATAATTGATTAGTTTATAAGATGACTTTTTATTAAAACTTCGTACCTACCCTATAAATAAATAATAATTCCTTTTTTCCCTATTCTTCAAAAAATCCCTATAAATAGAGAAAAATTCCTAATCTGGCAACACTAGGCCCAACTTTATGATCTGTGATAGGCAATTCGGATAACAGTATATGTAATGTGTGTTGCCTATGCAAATATAACCTCACATTTTCGCTAAAATATACTTTTGTGCTTTGAATCTAAAATATACTTTTGTGCTTTGATCTCGTAAAAATTAATGACATAACAAAGTAAATAAATTATATTGCTTTTTAAATTTAATTTTAATTATTTAAAAAAATAATTATTACATGTTTGTTGAATGATTTGGGACCCAAATTTTGGGTTTTATTGTGTTTTAAGTGTTCTGTGATTGTGACAATAATGATTTATTACTAAAATTTTGATTAAATTTTCAATTTAAATTTACTTGATATGGTCATAATTGGACGAGGTCAAAGTTTTATTAATAGCAAGTGAAAAATAACAGCATGTTAATCATATTATTTTCCAATAATTCTTCCAGTAAACAAAATTTAAGTAAAGTATTTTAGTTGTAAGTATACTGTATACCTAACTAAACGATTTTTAAAATATTCTTTGCAGTTGAAAAGGACAGGTTATTTATATTAATTTTAATTTAAATGAATTAAGAGCTAACAGATATAATATAAACTTGTTTAATAATTATTATGTTTTGTAGGAAATGAAAAGTCAAAGTGAATGGAATCCCTGTACACACTTGATGGCTAAAATTCCTGAAGTTAATTACGGAATTATAGTTTTAAATACACCTATAGATTTTAATTTTAACTCACAATTTATTATAAAAATGTGGAATAATGGTACCTATATATTTATAACAAACAATAATATGAATGCAATTATATTATATATTTAAGCTAAAGTTCGTGTAACAGTTGATGGGGGTGCTAAGAGATGGTTAAATTGGTTGGAAGCTAATAGATATGAATTAAATGATGTTTTAATACCGGATTTATTGACAGGGGACTTGGATTCCTTACATACAGAAGTTTTGGAAATGTTTCGTAAATCTAAAACAAAAGTTGTTGAAACTCCTGACCAAAATAAAACAGACTTTACAAAAAGTCTTGAGCAATTGGACATTTATTGCAAACAAGAAAATATTAAAGTATCATGCATTTGTAAATATTTTAAATGCATTTTATCTGTTAATATTTCTTTTTTTTAGATAGACACTGTTTTTGTGTTGGCTGATACTTGTGGCCGTTTGGACCAAATTATGGCTAATTTAAACACCATGTATAAAGCCAATAGCATATTAGAAGATGTGGCAGTTTTTCAAATAGCTAGTAATTCTTTATCTTGGGTCTTACATAAAGGGGAACATAGGATACTCATACCTGAAGAATTAAGAAGCAACCATGAATGGTGTGCTTTATTACCTATAGGAATGCCATGTCAAGTGACTTCAACAGGATTAAAGTGGAATTTAGGTATACAAAACATAGAAATTTTAAATTTGATGACAGTTTTACACAAGATGCAACCAAGTATAGACACCCAAAAAAACCACCACATGACTTCAATAAAAATAAGGATAAATTTCTGGCATTGTCAAGCTAGGTTTGTCCTATTTTCTAAAAATAATGTAAAATAATATACTTATGTATTAGGATGATTCATTTCCGCAAAGTTTTGTTTTTTTTTTGGTGCTCAAGCAAAATATTAATCTGGATATAGAAAAAAATTCTCACCAAGTGTGAGCTCTTAATATAAATTTGAAGTACTTACTATTTAAATTTAAAGTTTTACCGTTTAAAATGTATGTAAAAAATATATTTTTTTTTAAATTTCCAATGCTTACTCACCTTTGACAATATTGCAAATCGGTTTGATACACCTTGTGGGGAATTTCAAGCTCTTCAAAATTGCTTTTGAGTTTTGTTGACCAGTAGGAGTTGTCAATGGACAGTTTTTGAAAAAAATCGTTTTTTTTTATTTTTTCGAGAAAATCGCCATCTGTTGTTTTCATATTCATTATGAGTGAGAAATCATAATAATTTTAAAAAAGTTCTTAGTGTAGGGAAATACAATGATAATAAATAGAAAAAATCAATCTAAATAACATTATGGGTTGGTACTTATTAATTTCTTACGTTTTCAGTTATAAAAATGGCTGTAAAATCATTAAATATTGGTTGGATAACTTTTTTTTTGAGTCAGCCCTTTGTTCTCCCTACTTTTGGCGGTTTGTTCGAAAAAATTTAAAAAAAAGCGATATTTTTCCAAAACTGTATTTTGAGGACTCCTACGGATAAACCAATGCGAGTTACACAAAAAAACTTCAATTTTGAAGAGTGTGAAATTCCCCACAAGGTCCATTATTTGCTAATTGTAAAAGGTGGGTGAGCATTAGAAATTTGAAAAAAAAAATATTTTTTAAATGCATTTTAAACGGTAAAACTTTAAATTTAAATAGTAAGTACTTAAAATTGATATTAAGAGCTCAAACTTGGTGAGAATTTTTTTCTATATGCAGATTAATATTTTGCTTGAGCACCGAAAAAAACAAAAACTTTGCGGAAATTAATCACCCTAATATGTATTATGTATTTTTTTATGTATAAAGGTCTTAATTTAGAACATAAGAAATACATATATTGAATTATTTTTACAAAATAAGATGAAATTAGCTTGACACTGATAGAAAATAAACCTTAATTATGGGCCATAATTAATGGCATAAGGCATTTTACAATGAGCGGGAAACCAACACATCAAAGTTAATAATTTTATATTTGGGTATATTATAAGGGCGAATTTTCGTTAAATGTACATTTTGTATACATATTTTCTCCAGGCAGGTCAATTTGATCGATTTTTTTTCCTTTGTGATAGAACAGTGTAATATACTGCAAAACAATTCTATAAGTTTATAAATAACAAAAATAAACTTTATAGAAATAAAACTTATAGGGTTAATCTGAAATAGGGAAGGAAGACAAGGAAGAAATGAAACATTGTCCTCCTCCTAACGCATCTTCCTGAATGTTTTATGACACATTGCTTTTGACTTTTTCAAACGTTATTTTTCAGAAATACTGTTAAATGTAAATATCTTTCGGCATTTGTTTGGAATTTCTACTATGCTTTAATACAAAATGAATATAAAAAAGTTAACTTCTAAAACAAGAGTTGTATATAGCGTTTTGTAAAAGACACCAAAAGTGTACGCAAAAAAATCTTACCTTTAAAATATTTACAAAAAAATTTACACACTTTACACGTGCTCACTTGTTGTTGCCGAACTATCAAACATGTATGCCCTCTAGAAATAACACGATAGTATCTCTATCTCGTGTCTCTATTTCGAAGCAGTCGGCATAGAAGACGACGTTAGGAAAAAGACAAGATTTTTGAATGTCAACTTTAATATTTTTTTCTGTTTAAACTACTTTGTAGAAAACAATTTTATTTTTATATACGAATAAAAGAACTTTCCATTGTTCAAAAATAATTTATTTTTTCAGAAGAAAGCTGCAAAGAAGAATAATATAATAATTTAAATTAAAAAATCGCCTCTGGGGACAGTTAGGTTACAGGACATTTCAACTAGTTTTTCTGCCATATATAGAAACACAAAGTAATTAAAAAACAAAATACGATGGGTCCTAACAGGAAGGGGGTATTTAAATATAATAAATACAAAACTTATCAACAAAGGTCAAAAATAAAATTAGCTGGGGACAGCAAATGTACATTTAACTAAAATCTGCCCATAAGTGACCCAAGCATTGACCCCAATTTTTTTTTGGACTTCGAAGCCTGGGAACTGCACTACAAGTTTTGGTTAAAGAGAGCAGATTTTGGTTAGAGAACAGAAACGTCCAATTACATTATGTAACCCAACATTTTAAAAACACCCCAATTAAGGACCACCCTAATATACAGCGTGTCTCAGATTCTAATCGGGAAAATTTATTCGATAAAACTCAACCCAAAAATAAGAAGAACTTTTATGCTTTAAAGCTTTGTTGTCGAGACACATGGTCTTAAATTTTAAAAAATTGTATTTTTAATTGCTTAATCAAAAATCAAAAAAGCAGTGTCATGACCATACTTTTTTATATTAACTTAAGTTAATAATAATAATAATAATAAACATCCATGTTTATAAACATCATCGGGGTCTAATTTGCTATTCCGTTTCCAAAATTCGCTGTTTGGTGAACATATATGATGCTTGAAAACGTATGTTTACGAACCCTTGCCGGAGAGGTGCTGTTAGCCAATATTTGAGGTTTTTTATCTTACATTAATCATGAATTGCGGTGATGTACAGTATACAGTACTGTATTATTGTCAACCATAGTGATTGTCTTAAATTAATTAGTAATCATGAATTAATGACTTTTTAATAATTAATACCTAATTTATAATAATAATAAATAATAATAATAAATAATAATAATAAATGATAAATAATTATTTATAAATGAGAATAGGACAAATCACATAAGGGGTCACACTAAACAAATAATAAAATAAATAAATAAAATATTTTTATATTTCATAGCAGAGTTTTTTTGTACAGCGTTCATTTTCTATAAAAGTATGTGTCTCTCATTGCTGAATATTAACTGGAAAAAAATTAAATGTAAAACGTGCCCAAACCCTATGGGAAATGTATCGTCTTTGTGGCAGGGTTTAATATGAATATTAAGGGCTTATATGAGTCTGAAGGTCTTAAACTAAAAATTTAGGGGCGCTGCGAAAAAAAAAAAACAGGTTGGTAAATAACAGGCACCCTACTAATCATGGTGTTACTAGTAATATATTTGGGCATTATGGGATTAACAAAACAAAATATATACCTCAACGAATCTAAATTATATACCTACCTTTAAAGTAGTAAAATTATAAAATAAAACATAATACCCTTGTAAAAACCCAGTTTTATTTTAATAATACATAAAAATTGCGGAGAGAATGGTAAAAAAGTTATTATAATTATATAATTTTATAATAAATAGTATAAGTAAAAGGGGCGTGATCTCACGTGGCCAGCAAAATTTCTTTATTTTTATATTTTTATTTCGATTTAAAGAAATTTTATATTATATGTGTAAATACAGTGAGCGCGATAAAATCCCCCCCTGTTAACTTTTGAACCAAATAAGATATCGATGTCGGACAAAAACCAGGGTAAACTATATTGTGTTTACTACTTTTTGACGTCAAAATGAAACTTTTTTGCCTAACAAGTGCCAAGAGGGACGTATCAACCTGAAAATTTCAAATGGAAAGGGGGTGCTTGTGATACCTCATTTGAAAGATATTTTAATTCTCTATATAACACTTTTTTTGTTTTTAAAATCCGTTTAACCATAGCTTAGTTATTAGGGTTTAAAATGTTTAAAAATACGTTTTATTTTGGTTTTAATTTATTAAGAAAAATTCCCCTTGGACAGCTCGACAAACAAATTCATTTCTAACATTAGCAAAAGTTTCTTGCGTAATACTAGCACATTCACGTCCAATCCGGTGTTTAATATCATCTATGGTTTTCGGTTCTGTAATGTAGACCTTCAATTTTAAATATCCCCACAAAAAAAAGTCAAGTGGCGTTTAATCGGGAGAACGAGCCGGCCATTCGGTAGGACCACGCCTACCAATCCACCGATTTGGTTAACTGTTATCAAGCCATTGTCTAATCATCCCTAAAATAATGTGGGGGCGCTCCATCCTGCTGAAATATGACTTCTCTGTCAAATTCATCAGGATAGGTATTGATTATTTCCTCAATCATTGGTTGAATTTGGGTTTGAAGCATGTTAAGATACAGAATACCTGTAAAATTTTGTTCCAAAAAGATGGGGCCTACGATGTGGTTTCCCAGTATTCCCGCCCATACATTACCTTTTTGCGGATACTGGGTGTGACATTCTCGAAAAAAATGTGGATTAACATATGACCAGTAGCGTACATTTTGTCTATTAACAGTACCATTTAGAAAAAAGTGGATTCATCACTAAAGCAAATTGAACTTATGTAGATTGGATTTTGCGCTATACGTTCACACATAAGTTCACAAAATTGCATTCGGTGATCAGGGTCATCTTCAGTTAGTTGGTGGAGTATTTGAAGCTTGTAGGGATAAAATTTGTTCTTTAAATATTTCCTAACAGTTGTTTGAGATACAACACAAGTCTCTGCAACTGCGGCCGATTTCCATCCCGATCCTTTCTGCCTACCCACACTTCTACTTGTTTGAAATTTTGCCACCAAATCCCGTAGATATTTCCTGCAAATTGGGTTTTCTGGGTACCTTTCATTAAACATCCTTTCTGTTTCGTGCAAATTTCGCCCCATTTCACCATAAATAAAAATAGCCTCCGTTTTTTCTTCTAATGGGCGATGTCGAACCATTTTACATTCAAATATTAATTTAAATTGCATGAACAACTAACAATTTAATACTAAAGATATTAAT